TAGTAGTTGTGGAATGCTTGAAACATCTGGACAGGCTTATATGCAGTGCTTGAGAGAAGCCAGGTACCAGTGACACAGGGAGAGAAGTTCTGGAGGTCAAACTTAGGCTTCTAGGTAAGAGATTAAAGACCAGGACCTCCATGGTAGCAGTCCCTGAAATGTTTCCAGTTCCATGTGCGGGGACAGTTATATATGCAGTCTCAATGCATGGATGAGACTATGGGTCTATTACAGAAGAGGGTGGATGTAATTCTGTGGCCCGCAATGTGCATGAGGTCAGACTAAATGATCATGACGGTCCCTTCTGGCTGTAAAATCTATGAGTTTATGGCTCTCCATACTGACTGCATACATGTCATCTCAAGGATGAAAAGACAAAGTTTCTAGACTCCATCAATGATTGCTTCACAGAGCAGCTGGTCCTGGAACCCTCAAAAGGAGAGTCTTATGTGGGGCAAAAGATCTGGTCCAAGAAATGATTCTAGCTGAACTGGTAACAATTACCATAATATAATTAAATTTAACATTCTTAATGTCCTGGGGATGGGTGGAGGAAATGAAAAAAAGCCCATCACAGTAGCATTTAACTTCAGAAAGGGGATGATCAAGATACTAAAGATGGACATTGATGAGAATCTAAATGAATTCTCATTTCTTTACCACAGAGAATGTGAGGGAGATTCTTTTTAGATGACAAGCCTGAGGAAGTGTCCCAAATTGAGGTGTCATCAGAGGAGCTTTTGGAACAAACTGATAAATCAAGCAGAAAAAGTCACCAGGACTAGATGGTTTTCTGAAGGAACTCAAATACATAATTGCAGAACTACTATATGTGGTATATAACCTATCACTTAAATAAATCTATCAGATGTTTGGAGGATAGCTAATGTGATGCCAATTTTCAATAAATGGTCCAGAGGCAATCGTGGCAATTACAGGCTAGTATGCCTAACTTTTGTACTAGGCAAACTGGTTGAAACTATAGAAAAGAATGATCTGTGGATGAACATGGTATGTTGGAGAAGCGTTAGTACAGTTTTTATAAAGAAATATCATACCTCATCATAATTCTTTGGTGGTGGTGGTAGTGAATGAAAAACAGTCTAGGGTATATCCAGTAGATACAATGTACCTGGACTTTCAGAAAACCTTTTACAAGGTCCTCTCATGTATTAGTAAATGGTTAAAAAACAGGAAACAAAAGGTAGGAATAAGTGGTCAGTTTTCACAATGGAGAAAGATAAATAGTGATGCCACCAATGATCTGTACTAGGACCAGTGCTGTTCAGCATATTCATAAATGATCTGGGAAAAGGGGTAAACAATGAGGTGGCAAAGTTTGCAGACAATACTAAATTACTCAAGAATGTTAAGTCCAAAGAAGTCTACAATGAGTTAAAAAAGAATCTCATAAAACTAGAAAACAAAATGGGAGATGAAAAATCAGTGTTGATAAATGCAAAATAAAAGCATATTTTAATACATCATCCCAATTTTATGTACAAAATGATAGGGTCTAAAGTAGCTGTTATCACTAAAGAAAGATGTTGGAGTCATTGTGGATAGTTCCCTGAAAACATCCACTAAGTGCAGTGACAGTCAAATCTAGAGTATTAGGAACAATAGAAAAGGGATAGATAAGACAGAAAATATCATAATGCCACTACACTCAAACCTACAATACTGTGTGCAGTTCTGGTCACCTCTTCTCAAAAAAGATGTATTAGAAATGGAAAAGGTAAAGAGAAGGGGCAACAAAAATGATTAAGGGTATGGAACAGCTACTACATGATGAGAGGTTCAAAAGACAGACTGTTCAACTTGGAAAAGATATGATTGAAGAGAATAAAATAGAAGTCTATAAAATCATGAATGGTGTGGAGAAAGTAAATAAGGAAGTGCTATTTACCCCTTCAGGTAACACAAATACCAGGGCTCATCTAATGCAATCAATAGCCAGGTTAAAACAAACAAAAGGAAATACTTCCCAGAATTCACAGTCAGCCTGTAGAACTCAGTGCCAAGGATGTTGTGAAGACCAAAAACATAATGGCTACGGCTACACTGGCATGATTTTCTGAAAATGCTTTTAACAGAAAACTTTTCTGTTAAAAGCATTTTCGGAAAAGCACGTCTAGATTGGGAGGATGCTTTTCCGCAAAAGCACTTTTTGCGGAAAAGCATCCGTGGCCAATCTAGACGCGGTTTTCTGCAAAAAAGCCCCGATTGCCTTTTTCACGATAAGGGCTTTTTTGCAGAAAACAGTACTATGCTGTCTACACTGGCCCTTTTGCGCAAAAGTCTTTCGGAAAAAGACTTTTGCCCAAATGGGAGCAGCATAGTTTTTCCGGAAAAGCACTCGTGATTTTACGTGAGATCATCAGTGCTTTTCCGGAAATTCAAGCGGCCAGTGTAGACAGCTGGCAAGTTTTTCCAGAAAAGCAGATGATTTTCCGGAAAAACTTGCCAGTCTAGACACAGCCTAAGGGTGCATATACACAGCAGGGCATAATTTGAAATAAGCTACGCAAATTGAGCTACGTCAACTGCATAACTTATTTTTAAATAGCTTATTTCGAAATAGAGCCCTCTTCCTCCGACTTCCCTTACTCCTCATACAATGAGGGTTACAGGAGTTAGAGTAAGACGTCCTCCAGCTTGACAGTATTTTGAAATAACTGCTTGCTGTGTAGACACGGACTAAGTTATTTTGAAATAATGCTAGATATTTTGAAATAATGTTGCTGTGTAGATGTACCGTTACTGTGGTAAAAAAATCCAACTAGGTAACTTCCTGGAGGATAGGTCCATGAATGGCTATTGGCCAAGATGGTCAGGCCTACAACCCAATGCTCTGGGTGTCCCTAAACCTGAGACAACTAGGACTGAACGATAGAGGATGGCATTGGTTGCTGTCAGAAGACAGGACATTGAGTTAGATGGACCATTGGTCTGATCCCTCATGGCCATTTTCATGTTCTCTCTTTAGTCTCTATATATTTATATAAAGCATTATGTACACACCACCTATTGAGACAATACATAACAGTTTTAAAGTTATCTGGAGGTCATCATGTAAGCTTTTCAGGAGAAGGAATGCAGCTTATCCATGTTTGTAAAGCTGTGTAATTGAATTAATAAAGCTATATTTAATAAATATAAAATTAGTAAATGAAATCTTTAAATCTGTAGAGCTTGTGCAATATAGAAAGAATATTTGTAAATACTATACCTAGAGAAAAGAGCTAAAGATTTATTTTTGTTTATACGGCTCTTTTGGCTTGATAGATGTGATCTACTCTGAGAAAAATGGGTTAAATATTCACTATTCACATATTACATACTATTTATATGTATAAAGCATACAATATAACAACAGATTTTGGGTTCTACAAAGCATCCTTATTTAGCTGTATAGAAATCCTGATAAAAGGCAAGATGCTGAAAATGGCACCCCGGGGATATAATATTTTTTCAGTGATGACTCTGCACATTAATATACACCAACATATTCATACACTTTCCCTATAAACTTGTGCCCCGCAGAACACAGAAATGCTGTGAAGGAGAAAAAAATAGTACCTTCTTTTTAATTTTGTGTATTTCCTATCTTAATATATTAATCTACAAAGGTTAGGTCTTTTTAAGAATTTAGTACTACCTGAAATTCTCAAGATGAAAGTTATTTGATCTCTGTGATCCTAAACAAATCTCATGTAAGAATTGAGATGCTTCTAGGAAAATACCATCATTTTGATTATAGAACAAAAACATACACTGAATGTTTTCCATAACTTAAGAGTTAAAATCAAGTCTATCAGGGCTGAATTAATGCTATATAAACTCGAAAAACCCCAAACAAAATAACTTTCCATCTATTAAGATGGAGAGTTGAATGATACCCACTTTATGAACACAGGTCTAAGTACTACTTTACTCTGCAGCCTTAGTGCAGAAGAACATCATTTGCCAAACACTCTAAAAAATTATGCCTCTTATTTCTGAAAGCAACCCTCTTCACACCAAGCAATATAATAAAGAATGAAATCAGGAGTCTTTTTTCAGAAAATAGCAAATAGTAACACCCTTACATCATGCTTGTAAAGACTAATATAAACCCATATTTCAACCAACATGTTATTAAGAGACAAAAAATTAATTCCTATAATCATGTACAATTTTTCATTAGTCAGTTTTAATGTCTTCATTAAGACATTTAAGATGTTTTACCTTTTACTTTGAATCAAAGGTGATCTCATTAAAAAAATTTTTTAACGAGTCTTACTTTTTTCCCCCTTTATAAAACTGCATTATCACAAAGCAAATATAGCCAAGGCCCTGAAGCCATTTTCACTTCCACACCCTCAAAATATCATTCCACATATTTGAAAACAATGAAACATTCAGAGCACGAACTCATTTTGTTTAAAAGCTGAAATACTGCATCTTAAAATGTTAAGAGACCACGGGGGGGGGGGGGAGCTCTCTGCAGTAACACTTACGGTATCACAATACCTATCAATTATGAAATCAAGCCATCTCCATTAATTCACAGTCCACATGAGATGGATACTATGCAAAAGATATATAAGCTTTATACATTAATATGAACTGATTAAAGAAACTGAACTCATAGAATCTGTAATCAGATTTGTGCAGATTTCAATTTTGTATAATGCTTATCTGCTTAAAAATGGAGATAGCTAAGGGGTCTCTAAACCTATTGCAATATTTTTAATAATTTAGAACAGTTGCAAACAAAATATAAATAAATAAAAGCCAGGAAAAATAGTTACAGAAAATAGTTAAATAATTTCCAAGCATGGAACTGGCTCAACATAGTATCTTTGTTTCCATTTAAAAATACTATTTTAAAAGCAAGAACATCACAGTTTTAAGCATGCTGTAATTTGTTACCAGCTCCCAATGCTACCAATATTATCTTATTATTAAATATATTATTATTATGCAGTGATAACAGTTCTTGATTGCTTACATACCTGCTTGTATTTTCTCTTGATGATCTGGTCTCATCAGCTTCCAGCTTTCTGTATGACGAACAGCATAAAAAGACTGAACCAGGAAGATCCACAGCTTATCACGCAGAGCCTGGATCTTGCACGTAAAACCCTGTGTTCAAGTAACAAATCAGCAGCTGGCGAGAGGCACATTGTCATAGCAACCAGTCATTATTCCTGTCAGAATCTACTTACTCCCTAAGCTAGATCAATGATGTCATCATTTATATTTTACAATAACCTAGTAGATGTAGATGCTGCTTATGAGGGCTGCTTGTCCCTCCACCATAATTTTATTGAGTTTTAAAATAAGCCACTCCCATATAAGCTAATGTATCACAAGCCACCACAGTCTCTCTCTCTTTTTTAAAATTAATCCTTTCAGAGCTTTTTACTATCAACTCTGTCACTACAAGGTCAAATTCTCTGGGGACAAAAATGTATCTGATTAAATTTTCACACACTAAATCTGTAATAGCACTTGATTGCAGTAGTTTAAAAAGAGATTGCATTTTTTTGCATGTAATATTATAAATTTTAATCAGTGTCTTCTATCATTCACATGTCACTCATGACACATTACAGTCAATTTTCATTTAAAATGTATTATTTAGATTGTGGTGCATCTACCGCATGATAGATTGGCACTTTCCAGAAACATAAGATATAGACCGTGCTCCAAAGAAAGCAAATACTACCGTTGTATTCAAGTGTTTTTAAAAAGTAAATTAATTAAAAATAAACTCTGTCCCCCAGAAATAATTTAAACATTTAATTTTTAAATACTCTTTCTTGGTCATATATTTTACAATGGTAGTACACATTAGTAGTGCTTTCTCACACAGATTATTATTAGACAGTGCTGCTAGCCTGTAAAACATTAGTGTTGCCACAGATAATGCCAAGTAATTCTTTTTATTTAAAAAAATGTTGCTATACATAAATGCCTGTAGGTCCTGTGTTTTCAAAAGGATTTTAAGCCCATGTGAGGGACTGCATGCATGTGTCCAACTGCAATTTGAGGTGACAGAACCCAAATTGCCTAATTTGATTTGAACTCCTACACGTGTACACTAACAAAAAGCTACCATTTTTAAAAGTATAAGTACTGTGACCTATTCTTTTCCTATTAATACAGCAAAACCTACCATTTCCTTCACATTTGTGGAGATCAACAAAGTATCCACAGCTATAATAAGAAAGCAACTGTTTTCAATGTTAATGTTTTTCTCGATTGCTTTTAAAACTTGTTCTAGAAGATCAGGTTTGCTGCTCATTGCCTGTGCCTGTGGAAACAATGAAACGGGAGTCATTTTTAATAAATACGTATTTCCAATTAAAAAACATCATTCAACAGAAAGTAATCAATCTGACTTTGGTATCCTCTCCTAAATTGTATCCTATTTATTCATTCCACCTTTCTCTCCACACACAAAAAGACGCTACAATTTTTTTTTAAGATCTTATTTTGTGGTTAAACAAAAGCTTAGGAAAAAAACAGCTGTTACCGAATTTACAGCTGAATACAAATCTGAAGAAAAAAAGGACAGTTTGGTATATATATTTTTAATTGTTGATTCAACAGAGCACCTTGCCAAATCTTTGTTTTATTAGGGAAATGCAGTGCGGGGTAAAACTACAAAAGTACTTACCAGGAAATGCTGCATGGAACTCTTTTCAATTAATACCCGAGCCCTTAGGAGCACTGCACAGTTACAACACATGCTGCTACCTTGGGCTTTGGTCCTGTGCATACTTTATGGTGCATTTATTCAAGTGTTTAAATGTTACACACAAGAGTAGCCCCCTTGAATTCATAGAACTATTCACACTTGCCCAACTTAAATACATACCTGCACACTGAAGCAGGGCTTTAATTTCTTCAAATTAATTGTCAACTTATATAAAAATTTAAAATAGGGTAACATATTTGTAAAGTGACATTGAAATAATTCTGAGTTAGTTAAGAGTCTATATTGTTATTGTTTTGAAAAAAAAAACAGAAAATAACTCATGAGCATTTTACCTGCAAGAAAGTATGAAAACTTTCACACTCTATTATACAAGGGAAGTTTGTCACAATAAATTCTATGCATTCTTCTTGAAGCCTAGTTGCCAAAGCCAGAGCCGTTTCAGACCATTTCACTTGAGGAAGACTACTGAGCAGCTGGTCACTTTCCATCAAAAGAAAAGCTGCATTCTTGTGGTTCTTAAAATAAAAGCAATTAATAGATATTAGAATAATTATGCAATAGAGTAATTATCCAAGAAAATGCTGGTTCTCTAATAGCTCCTTTCCATTATTGAACACTTACACTGTATCCTACTAAATAAGCTATTCAATTCACTTACCTTAATTGTATTTGGATTTTAATATTTGCATATTCCACTAGCTTTTAAAAAAACTTTTGGGTTAATAAGTCTGGTGTGCTTAATTATTTTTATTGTTCTCTGTTGATGAGATTTTATTATGTTTTCCTCTTTTTGTCATTATATTTTGCTGCCTACAGAGAAGGCAGATTCACATTCACAAACAAATGCTAAATACTAAACTAGTAAGAAGAATCTCAGAGAAAAGTTAAATGGAAAGGATAATATTAAGTCATAGGAGAGTGTAATAGCCATATGGACTTAAGGGGCAGAAAGAGCTCTAGTGTCTGGGGAACATTTTAGGACTCTCTCCTCCTACCCCCCACCGAATGAAGCAACTTTTGCCTTCTCAAAATTTTATCCTCGCTTAGCCGCCACATCTCCAAGTTTTCCATAGGAAGGAGTGATCCAATCCAGATGGCATCAAACTAATTAAACATAATTACTTTCCTAATATTCCCTCCCTTTTAATTCACCTATACTGTGACTGATGCTTCACTGCTAATCTAAGCATTTACACAGGCCTCATCAACAATGCCCATCTCACCATCTGCTAACTCATCTTAAAAGTGATTTACAATTTATCACTATCCACCAAAGTAAAATGGATCAAAAGATCTATTAAATGTGACTTGCTAGGTCAACTGATAAATTATATAATATGCCCAGAAAGTTTTATTATTTTCCCTTATTATCTTGGTTTAAAAATGCTGCCAACGTAAACAGTGTTTTCTGCAAGTAAGGTCCTTTGTATTCTTCCTAATAGAAACAAAATGTTGTCGTAAACCTGTAAAGTAATCAAAATTTCTAGTTCTCTTCATAAATTTTCTAACTGTTATGGAATAAGTGAGAATCATGAGAAAGTAAAGACTAATTAGTGAAAAAACAATGTAAGAAAGATACTGATGGTTTCAGAAGCTTAAATTTAGTTAATCTTGGTTAGAATGATATAGAAAAGCAGTAAGTGCAACTAAATACATGACAGAAAAGTGCTACAGGTTCAAATTCACACTTACCAAGAAACTTCGAGTACCTTCAGTTCAGAGAATGAAAAACAGCAAGATTTTCTCTCTGTACTCCAGCTAGGATATAGTTCCAGCAAGTCCTTGCTCAATTGTTTTTACATTTGTTATGAGCAAAATCTATTTTTTGTATGTGTATATAAAAGTAAATTCACTTAGGGTACAATCCCGCTCCACTGGCTCAATTAGAAGCGTCTTTAATGGTGGCAAATGAAGTTCTTACTCACAAAATGAGGATCACCTACTTTTTTCTTCCAAGATACTGAGGGCCCTCAATGATAATTAATTACTTCCAGTAAATTATGAAATACCTTCTGGACCTATCTGCACCCTATTCCTTTAGACAATCTTTCTCTAGGGTAAGAGAGATCTGTAAATGACTATAGTTTTGTTCTAGGAGGAAGTTCCTCTTTTCTAAAAAAAATGGTTGTATTCTAATACCAGGATAATCACCTTATTGTGGTTTTAAATGGCATTCATGCTTAGCAGTTTATAACTTCTTGTATCAGTCTGTAGCTTTCCATCAAAAAGTCTTTCCACTCACTGCAAGTCTACTTCTTGCATGCTCCTCTCAAGATTTATTATACAGGAGCAAGAGAAACAGCTCAGTAAACTGGAAAACTTGTTGCTTCTATACTGCCTTTAATACTGTTCAATGAAAGCTCACAAAAATTCTCCTTAAGCTCACACCTGTACAATTTGAAAATTGTGCATATCAGAAGAAAGCATTCCATTGTGATATTTTTAATTGGCTTTTAAACTAAAAATGTCCACTATTGGCAGATGAAAGAATCAAACTTAGATTTATTGACTGGCTTTATTGATTGTTAAAGAGTATTATGCACAGTATAAAAAAGTTTTTTGTAAAATATAATAGTTAAAGTAAAATAAATATCTGTAAATATTCAACTGTTTTGGCAAATAGCTTTAACATTTTTGCAGTTTTTAAAATATGCAAAACCCCATAAGCCACTAGGGAATTTTCAGTCTCAGGCATGTTGATTTATTTTTCAACTCCATGATTGTGAAACCTTACTAGGCTTCATCCAAGAGGCACAGCCCAGAACTTTCAGCCCTGGAGGAACAGGATTGGGGCAAAATAGCTTTATGCTGTTTTTGTGTCCTCTCAATCCTGGCTGCTTCATGGGCTGACAAGGACCTCACAGGCTTGTCAGCTGTCAAGGATCACCTTCTGGGCCTTAGCACTGCCTGGAATCTCTGTAGCACTTCATGCTGCAACTCCACCCCTCCCACCTTGTCCCCAGCACAAACCTAAATCAGGACTTATGTGGGGGTCATCAGAGGATAGCCCTAAGGCTGAATATGTTGCTTACACTGAAGAAATATCCAATCAGCCTTTCAGAGCCTCTTTAATACTGTTTCAGCCTCTTTAGCTGGCATGAAGAAGCTAGAGTGGGAATGAGAAACTCATCCTAGGTATCATTTAACTTTGACAGAAAGATTGCTTTCAGAGTGAAAATGATCTGTTTTTCTTTGTACTGTGATACAGTTCTAGATCAAATTTTCAGCTGGCATAACTGATCTGAATTTGAAGCACTAAGTCAGTCCAGATATTCATTCCACAAATACCAGAGGAGGAAACCTGCAAATTGGAACAGTTCCAATTTGGAACTGAATGTAAACAGACAACACTAACAACTACTGGCAAGGTCTGAAGATGGATACATTCAGAGATCATATTAATGTGGACTATTTATTAAATGGAAGATGAAATAGCTTAATTAAGTTGTTAGGCCCACCAAAAGTTACAGACACTAACAATTTTGACTGATTAGTTGCCTATTGGTAAGGCTATGATTTAGTCATTGATATTTTTAATAAAAGTCATGTACAGGCAGTCCCCGACTTACGTCGGATCCGCACTTACGAACGGGGCTTTCTCGCCCCGGAAGTCTTCCCCTGCTTCTGCTGACGAGTGCAGAGGAGGGCGGGGGACTGGACCTTTACTGCTGACACCAGCCCTGCTGGTCCACGGCGCTGCTTTGGTTGGGGGGAAGAGGAGAGGCAGGGAGAGGACAGCGCAAGAGAGGGAAGAGTAGAGCAGAGGTGAAGAGGAATGGTCCTGACCCTTCCCTGTGTTGGGGGAGGAGTTGCATGGCTGGTGGTCCCCCAGATGGCCTCTGACCATTCCCCTGTGGTAGAACCGCATGTGAGCACATGACCAGAGCTTCTCTGAGCTGCCATTTCCCCAGCCAGAGGGAGTAGGGGATGACATCAGAATGAAGAACCACTTCCTCTCCCCTGCTAGGCAGAGCCCGTGGGCCCGATGCAGCCTGTAACTTGCATTGATCCAGCCTGTTACGCTTGGGATTCCGGACTCCATAGCAGGACAAGCCAGCTCTGGCTTGCTCTGTTGTGGGAAGAGAGAGCCCAAGCCTCGTGGGCCGGATCAAGACATGCCGCATGCTGGGCCATAGGTCCCCATCCCTTTAACTAGATACAAATTTAATCACTAGCAGAACTTAAAATTATCGATAAGGTGAACTGATTTCGAAAGAACATGGTTTTCAAAGAAGAATAAATAAATTAAAACTAAATAAATATTTAGCTACCAGATTGCAGAAAATATCTCAAAAGTAAGTGACATGTTATTGCATATACAGGCAGTCCCCGACTTACGCGGATCCGACTTACGTCGGATCCGCACTTACGAACCCAGCGCTGACTACAGGAAGCCCCAGGCAGAGTTGCTCTGCCCCGGGCTTCCTGGAATCAGCTGCTGATCAGTTTCAGCAGCAGCTGACTTGGGGACGCCTGGGGTTCTTAAGTTGATTCTGTATGTAAGTCAGAACTGGCGGTCAGTTTCAGCAGTGTCTGAATCTGGACGCCAGTTCCGACTTACATACAGATTCAACTTAAGAACAAACCTACAGTCCCTATCTTGTACGTAACCCGGGGACTGCCTGTACAGATAATGGGCAGTACACAAAAATTCATGGCCCCGTGGCCTGCCCATGACTTTTATTATAAATATCCCTGACTAAATCTTAATTGGTATGCACTGGGGGGAGCTGCTGCTCAGAGGGAGCTTTGCCAGCAGTGCTAGCTACCAACTAGATAGCCACCCACAGGACCAGTGCTCAGGTGATCCTCAGGGCCACTGCCATGGGCTATCTGAACTGGTGCCACTGGCCTTGGGACAAGTCCAGTAGCAGCTGATGCCGTTGGCTGACAGGCCACTCCAGCAGCAATCAATGTGACTGTCCCCAGGGCTGCCTGAGGTCAACCACACCAGCCACTGCAAGTCATGGAAATTGTGGAACATCATGGAATCCCAGACTTCTCCGACCTCTGAGAGAGACAGGGAACCCTACCTATAAGTAGAAGGCTAGTGACCACACACTGATAGCCAAACACTTTCACTTAAAGTGTGAAAAAAACAATCACTACCCTATTTATGCATAAGTTTCCAAATTAAAATTTGTGGTAAAATCCTATTAAGTCAGTGGTACAACTCCTATTTACTTCAATCAAGCCAGTGTTTCACTATTGGTATAAGAATAAACAGGGCAATTACTACAATTGCTCCTTCTCTCTATCTGAATATATAACAATGTACTATTCTGTCAGAATATTGAATTTGATAAACACCTCTGAAATAGCTATATTTTGGAGTGGTTTAAGATTTGCATTTTCATGTGTTCCATGAAACATCAGCATGACTGTATTTGTATGTCAATGTTTGATTTTATGTTTTTATTTACATAATGATTTTTATTTAGTATGATTAACATACAATACAATATGGCACGTTTAATGTTTAGTTCCTAAATAAGCACAATTTCAAAGTAGTATATATACACTCACTGTGTACATACTTACCAAAGACTGAATCATCATAGCAAGACAGTTATTCTGAAGCTCAGTGGGTAAACTGGCAAAGCTCCTCTCTGACCAACATTTCACAAAATGTTTTCCTATCCATCTGTGAAAATAAGAGCTTTACTTAACTAAATAAAGAGCACGGAGGAAATTTTATAAAACTATTGTTATAATATTTTCACCTCTGCTAACATAAATGGAAAAACCTAGATTTAAATATGAAATATAAGTTCCTCCCAAAGTTATGTTCAGTGAAAAACATTAATTTAAGGAATGGACAGTGAAAATGTAGAGCAATAGTGCATTTAATTTCACTTACTTCATGCAAGAAGCATAAAGGTTCTCAACTTCCACTGAATGAGCAATAGCCAAGCATTCTAGCACATGTTGCTGCCTTCCAGGAATAGGCTAAAATTGTGACAAAATAAATCACACTTATTGTACATTCTTACTTATAGAAACCATGCAGATACACAAGTCTTCAGTTTAATTTGAAATATTGTCAGTGATAGAATATTTACATTTGTGGAAATTTATGCTCAATGGGCCTATTCCTGTTTCCACTGAAATAGCGGTAGCAGTGCAGGGTTGGGCCTAATTTAAGGACACAATACTAGAACTGGAAGGGATCTCAAGAGATCATCAAATCCAGTCCCCTACTCTCACAGCAGAACCAAGCACCATCTAGACCATCCGTCACAGATGTTTCACTAACCTACTCTTAAAAACCTCAAATGATGGAGGATTCCACAACCTTCTTAAGCAATTTATTCCAGTACTTAACCATCCTGACAGGATGTTTTTCCTAATGTCTGACCTAAACCTCCCTTGCTGCAATATAAATCTATGGCTTCTTGTCCTATATTATCAGAGGTCAAGGAGAATAATTTTTCACCCTCCTCCTGGTAACAACCTTTTAGATACTTGAAAACTGTTACCATGTTCCCTTTCAGGTCTGGTCTACATTAGGATTTTAGGACAAATTTACCCGCATAAGGTCAATTTTCTAACCAATGAGTACTTACTACTAAATCCATTCCATCAACTTTAAGGGCTGCTAAAGTCAGTTTAGGTACTCCTGCTTTTCACGAAGAGTAATGATAAATTTGACCTTGCATGGTCGACTTTATGGTACTGTAGACATCAACAGGCAAAAGTCAACATTCTTGGCCTCTGGGAGGCACCCCACAATGCCCCGATGTGACTGCTTTGGCCATGACTTGCATCTCTACTGCTCTCCAGGTAAACAGAAAAAGCACTGGAAACTTTGAAGTATGGTGAGCACACTTCAGAGCAGGCAGCACACCTGGGCATGAGTTCCGTGAGCAATATGAGCTCCAGTTCCCATGGGTGCAGACAAGCACCAACATGGAGCGTGCAGGAGATCTTGGACCTCACTGGCGTGTGGGAGAGGATTCCGTTCACACACTGCTCTGAATCAGCAATGAAATGCAGGTATCTATAGGTTGATTGCAAAGTCCATTGTGGAGAAAGGACACGCCAAGGATATCCAGCAGTGCCATGCGAAAATAAAGGAGCCAAGCCAGCCCTACCAAAAGACAAAGGAGGCAAATGGATGGTCTGGAGCTTTGCCACAAACATGTCACTTCTGCAAGCAACTGCATTCGATCCTGGGGGGACCCAACCAGTTTCCCAAGCCAGATCATAGACTCCTCCCAAGACATGCAGGGCAGCTACATGGAGCGTAGTGGTGGTGGAGCAGGAAGAGAAGAATGGTCAACAGGCGAATGGGGCAACTGATGTGACAGAGAGCCAAGAACTTTTTATAACCCTGGAGACAGTCTCTTTCTCCCAGGACATCTCACAATCGGGCACTGATCCCAGGGAGAGCACTTCTAGTGAGTTCACATTCTTTATCTTGCTACAACTGGGATAAGGCAGTTAGGTGTGATGTGTGGTGTACTCTATGCCTATACAGCGAAGGGGGCCCGGAAAAGACTGTTAACGTGTCTGGAGATGGAGTGGGAATCCTCCCTGCACATCTCCATAAACCGGTCAGACAGGAACTCTTTAATCCTTCTCACAAGGTTTCTGGGGAGGCCTGCCTTATTCCACCCTGCATGGTGGGACACCTTCCCACACCAAGGCACCAGAATGTAGCCTGGCAGCACAAGGACCAGGTTTTTGGCCACATTCAGTCAGCATCAGCTCCCCATCTCTGTGTGAGAGATTTGGAAAAGACAGATATCTCACATGACAACCTGGATGAAGAAGGGGAAGCTATTAGTTGCTGCCTCTTCTGCTAACCTCTCTTTGTCCATCCCCAGTGAAGCATGGCTTCAGTCCCTGCCCCGCTTTCTGTCCTCCCACCCACAAGCTCCTGTGGGAAGGGGGAAAGTAGCATTTTCCTGGCAAGTGGAGTATGCCAGACACAGAGGAGTGCTGCATGAGCCGCCATCCTGTCTCCCTGGCACAACCACCCAGACCCTGCCCACCCTACCATCAGCAGAATCATGCCCTGGAAGGTCCCTTACTATGCCTGCTACGAAACAGAGCCTTGAAAACTCTGTTGTGTATCTGCTATATAGTGGCTGCTTTAAAGCATAACTGTGGACTTGCACAGAACACATCCCTATTGTCTTCAGAGAGACCTTCACTGCAAGTTAACAGATTAAGTTTTAAGCTCCACAATATATTTCCTATATAACGTGTGCTCTTGTAACAGTGGTAAGCCAGCTTCACACTCCTTCGGCTCCATCAGGTGCCCACCTTGCACAAATCCAAAGGTGTAAACAGACAGGGGAAGACATGTTCAAGGAGCAAATCCTGCCCCTGTATAAAACTATGGTACGCCCACATCTTGAATACTGTGTACAGATGTGGTCTCCTCACCTCAAAAAAGATATTTTGGCCTTGGAAAGAGTTCAGAAAAGGGCAACTAAAATTATTAGGGGTTTGGAGCGGGTCCCATATGAGGAGAGGTTAAAGCGACTGGGACTATTCAGTTTAGAAAAGAGGAGACTGAGGGGGGAATATGATAGAGGTATATAAAATCATGAGTGGTGTGGAGAGGGCCGATAAAGAAAAGTTATTTATTAGTTCCCTAAATAGACGAACTAGAGGACACCAAATGAAATTAATGGGTAGCAGGTTTAGAACTAATAAAAGAAAGTTCTTCTTCACACAGCATGTAGTCAACCTGTGGAACTCCTTGCCAGAGGAGGTTGTGAAGGCTAGGACTATAATAGAGTTTAAAGAGAAGCTAGGTAATTTCATGGAGGCTAGGTCCATAAAAGGCTATTAGCCAGGGGATAAAATGGTGTCCTTGGCCTCTGTTTTTCAGAGGCTGGAGAGAGATGGCAGGAGACAAATCACTCAATCATTGTCTTCGGTCCACCCTCTCTGGGGCACCTGGTGCTGGTCACTGTCAGTTGACAGAATACTGGGCCAGAAGGACCTTTGGTCTGACCCAGTACGGCCGTTCTTATGTTCTTATGTAAATGCAATCCACTCATTTGGACAGGGAGCGCATAACCAAGTGGAAAATACAATACTGGAGGAGATGCAGGCAGAGCGTCAGGAAAGGCAAGCATGCAGGGAACTGCAAGTAAAGAACCACAAGACTGTCTTCTTGTCCTTGACAGGTGTGATGGACTGCATGGCAGCTTTCCAAAATGCGTAACTGGACTGGCTTCTCTCGCCCACAATGTGGACCAACTGCCTCCTTCCCCAGTGACCTTAGGACATGGTGGGGGGAATTCAAGGACAGCCTAACACTCAACCTGCAGGGAAGTGCTGTGAAGAAAAAAGGCTGTCCTTGCATTTCTGATCCTCCTCCCCCAAAGGATCCCACCATGGGCTCCTTTTCTGTCCCTGCTGTGTTCCCTAAATAAAAACGCATTATTTCTGAACAACAGTCTCTTTATTGCTTGTATTGCAGAAATGTGGGGGAGGGGGGAGAAATTACAGTCACACAATGCAGGGACACACTGAGAGCAACTTGCATAACTCTAAAAACTGACCATTCAAAAAACTTTCTTTCAAAAGCCTTTCTGAATTGCACTACCCCACGCTGTGCTCTCCTTATTACCCTGGCGTCTGGCTGCTCAAAATCTCTTGCTAGGAGCTCTGCCTCATTCTGTCCCTCCCGCACCCTGACAGATAATTTCCCATTGGCTGCTACCATAAAAGTAACGCTGCATTTGCTGAGGTTTGATTTAGTCAGAAGACTCCTAAACTTTCCTTTTAAATGTCCAAAAACACATTTCACCACCTATAGTTGAACTGCTCTTTACTGTGGTCCAAAGTGGCCACGTATGGCTTCATGAGCCATGGGATCAAGGGGTAGGCTAGGTCGCCAAGGATCACTATTGGTATTTCCACCTCTCCAATTCTAATTTTCTGGTCTGTAAAGAAAGTTCCAGTTTGCATCAGCAACTCTGTAGCAGAACAGTATTGATTGTTTTGGCTACCTGGATCACAGCAGCCTCCACTGTAGATTTCCCCACTCTAAATTGATTCCCAACTGACTGGTAGTTGTCTGGCATTGCAATCTTCCCCAGGGAAATTGCCACACGCTTCTCCACTGTCAGAGCGGGTCTTGTTAGGATGTTCCTACACTTCAGAGTGGGGGGAAAGTCATTCGCAAAGTTCCATAAAAGCGGCCTTGTGCATATGGAAGTTTTGCAGCTACTGCTAATCGTCCCATAGTTGCATCACTACATGGTCCCACCAGTCTGTGCTTGTCTGATGGCACCAGAACGGTCGTTCCACTGTATCTATAGGATCGAATGCCGGCATCATTTCCAATTCGCTCAGTTCAAGGGCTTACACGAACAGCATGTCCATAGTCTCCCAAGATTTGTCCTCTTGCTGATATACCATGCATATGCTCTCAACGTACTCCTCCATTAGGCATGCCGAGGTGAACATCATCACCACAATGCTTTGATGCATAATAGGATTGACCAAGGGGTTCATGTTTGCACTGCCATGGTGACTGCATAGGTACCTGGGCCAAAAAGGGTGCAAAAAGTCTGTTTCCTGTTGATCTTAAGCCAGGGGGAAGGAGTAGACGAGCGCATTATGGGACGCAGACAACATGAACCCGGAACCACCTGCTGCACAGTTTTGGTCTCAGCATGCAGTGGGAGCATAACCCAGGATGCAAAGTAGTGCAGGCTCTGTGAGATAGCTACCCACAGTGCATCGCTCTCAAAGTCCTAGTGGGGATACACTACTTCAAACTATGTTGAATTCTTGTGCACAGTGGGGACATGGACCTTCAACTTTACAAAATCATGTGGCAAGAACTTCACCTTAATAAATCTGACTTTCTCTCATAGTGAAGACATGGCCTCAGTCTTCTCTTTTCCCAACAACACAAAACCAATTCTTTTAATCTTCCCTTGTAGGTCATGTTTTCTCAACCTTTAATCACTTCTGTTGTTCCTCTCTCAACCTTCTCCAATTTGTCCACATCTTTCCCAAAATGTGGCACCTAAAACTAGACCCAATGCTCTAGTAGAGGCCTAATCATTACAGAGTACAGCAGAAGTGTCTTTCTTACAACACTCCTGCTTACAAAACTCCCAGAATGTTTGCTTTTGTTGCAACAGTGTCACACTGTTGACTCATATTTAGCTTCTGGTCTCTGATACCCCTAGATCTGTTTCTGCTGTACTCCTTCCTAGACCGTCGTCTCCCATTTTGAAAGTGTGAAACTGATTGTTCCTTCCTAAGTGGAGTACTTTGCGTTTGTCCTCATTGAATTTCATCCTATTTACGTCAGACCATTTCTCCAGTTTGTCCAGACATTTTTATTTATAATCCTAATCTCCAAAGAACTTGCAACCCCTCCCTGCTTTGGTATCATTTGCAAACTTTATATAACTTGACATTAACTTAATATGTTCATCTCAAAACTCTTGAATTTTCAACTTTCAAAAGCTGACCAGAAATACTTGAAAAATATATGTCCATGAAATGTATTATACAAGTATACAACACATCTGTATACAATCCTCAACAACAATGGTCTCCAACCTTTATAAGCACAAGATCATTTTTTGAATTTAAGTGCAATCCAAGAGCAACCTCAAATCCAAATACCCTTGCCCCATCTCCTTTGTGCACCTTCTCCCTCCCTCCCCCCATCCTCCCTCACTTTCACCAGGCTGGGGCAGAGGATTGGGGTGCAGACTCTGGCCTTAGCCTAAAGGATTTGGAGTGTGAGAAGGGCTCTGAGTTGAGCCTGGGGCAGGCAATTGGGGTACTAGAGGAGGTTCTAACTGCAGGCTCCAGAAGGGCGTTTGGATGCAGGGTTGCTCAGGCCTAGGGCAGGGGCTTGAGGTGCAGGAGGAGGTTCATGACTTGCGTAGGGGTTTGGGATATGGGCTCCAGATACATCCTGCTTACCTCAGGTGGCTCCTGGGTGGTGGAGCAGTGGGGCTAAGGCACCACTCTCAAAAGCAGCAAACAAATTTGCTCTCTCTCTACTCCTGTTGTGCCCCCTCTCTGCTCTGTAGAGCTAGGATACAGGGTGGGAGAAGGGGGCACCTTGACATCAGCACCCTCCTCTCCTTCCCCTGCACAGCAAACAGGAGGCTCCCGGGTAAACAGATCTAAAGCAAAGGGCAGGAAATGCGCAACAGTAGGAGTGAAGGGGTAGCTTAAGTGCCAGCACTTGATAGTGGCCAAACCAGTCAGGATCACCTGTCAGAGGCTCCAAGATCCCGATCTATTCGTTGGTGACCACTGTCCAACAACATAAAGCTACATGTCAATGAGAAACATTCTAAGGAATTTAGTATATGTTTAACTGATAACAGTGGAATACTACATTTTTTCTGCTACAGTTTACAAACTGTGCCTACTTCATTGCTGTTACACAAATAGGTACCTGACCCAGCAGTACTTATTTCATTAGTAATTCCATTTAACTTGATGGAATTATGAAGAAGAGTGTAGGAATTGTACAGCCCAGCCTAGCACCTTTGTTGTTAACAGAATGATTCTTTGTTATTAAACATTTCAATGATTTTACTTATAAAAATTTCTTTCCCCTCAACCCAGGCATTTTAGTTCACAAAGTTGTGTGAAAGCTGAAAGATATACACGTACCTTTTGAAAAAAATTGCAGTAGTCTCGTTTGAGAATATAGATAGCTACTTCTTTCAGTCCGTCAAGCCCATACATATCAGCAATTCTCAGTATTCGACTGAAGTAAAAGCAGTAATGGTAGGATTAATATTATCACTAATCAACCAGGATGTCCACATTTTTTGCTTACAAAATAGTTTACAAACAAAATTACTTTTGCCCTACCCTTTTCTTATTCCTAGTTAGAAGTTTCTATACACCATTGTATAGAGATTAAGTATAAGCACACAGTACTTGTCTAGAACAATGGCTTTCAACCTGTTGTCTGCAGACCATTCCGGGTATGCAGACTATGTCTAAGAAATGTCTCCATTCAACATTTTTAAGGGTTTGCAAATGATAAAAGGTTAAAAATCACTGTTCTAGAATGCTCCAAAATACAGTGTTCAAACAGAAGCTAGCTAAGAAATAAAATAAAATACCCACAACAGAGTGAGCTTCTAGAACTGCTTGCTGAATCTCACTGAATTTTTACAAGGCTTTCAGAACCCCTCGAGGGCAAGTTCTCTTTTCTAGCTGCTGCAGTAGGATGATTATGCATTTCATGGCTGCCCACTACAAAGGTGATATATGACCTTATGGATGTGGTCTGGCATCTGAGTATTACATCAGTAATGAGTTATTTCCAAACAACAGAAAAGCATAGTGAACAAACTATAAAACTACTAATTTTGTAAAATAATTAATATCTCTATGTGGCGGCTTATTCCACGCAAGGATTTGTAGGGGCCATTTTAAATACATTTTCATGTAATCTTGGGGGAATAAAACTTTGAACAACAAATGATTTAAGCCACTCAAAAATTATGTTCTTGACATCTATTAACACACTTAAGAATGGCTCTTATATAACAGATTACAATGAACACCCCGAAACTCCTATTTACTGTATGGGATCCTAATGCTGTAATATTGTATGTTAAGGCATGTATACACTAGGAAATTATTTTGAAATAACTTATTTCAAAATAATAACTCCTGAAATAACAATTTTGAAATAGCATGTCCATGCTACAGGAAAGCCTCAAAATTAGTCCAAGGCAGGCTCCACTATTGTGGACATGCTATCTCAACAAAGAGCCCCAGAAAGCAACGGGGAGTAATTAGTTTGATGACTCTAGGGAGTAGTTATTTTGAAACTGCAGCAATGGAGTGTCCACACTACCGTTATCTCAAAATAACTATTTTGAAATAAGTGTTAAGTCTCAGAAAGCAGAAGTTACTATTTTGAAATAATTTTCTAGTGTAGACCAGGACTCAGTAACATCCAAACACAAATGTAATGCTTAGTAAACTAAGCATGTATCTAAGTTTGTGAACAAACCTTACCTACCTGAAACCACTCCACTACAATTCAAAAGACATATAATCCCCAATGAGTAACAGAACTAGTGCAATTCTAAAGAAAAAAATTGGGAAAGAGGAGATAACATAGAAAATTAACCCACAGCGTGTGTTCTCTTGCACACTGAGAGCTATGGAAAATAGTTCCAATCAGTGCAATAACTGAGGAACATTTTGGGAGTGGATCCAGTGCATCCATGATTTTGCAGATGCCAAAAGCCTCCTGAATTACCAGCCACAGAGTGGCTCCAATACAGCCTGTTACCTTAATGGAGGGGTTCTATCCCATTCTAAATATCTAAAAATTTTCCTAGAGCTGTCCAGCTATCTACTCAAGAGAGGGTTTAGACCAAACATTTTTAAAAGATTGCCTGCAAGTATTTCATGTTGCTGTTCAACTACTTTCTGTGGATCTATTATTTTACAAACAATGAGATCTCTCACTAATTAAAAAAGTTATTTCAATATTACATTCTGAATATTTGTTACAAAATATCATTTTGTGTTGTCCAGATCACTGAAAGCTGAGTAAAAGCAGAATGTACAGCACAAAGTGTCATATTATTTTAGCATAATAGGCTATACTTTGTTTTCCAAACATTTTTCTCTCCATCTAATATTCTACAGGGCTGCTGAATAAATAACAAGATATTCTCTAAAAATACATTATTTTTGTAATTTCCTCAAAATATATTTAGGTGCAATGATGATTATATTCGACACCTTTGTTTTATTTATACTACATGATGCATTTCCTATTTGAATCTGAATTGAGAAAAAGCAGAATAGGCACAAAGTTCAATTAAAAATAATAAAAGTTGACATATACCCAGCATCAGCTTTGTGTGGGAAGTCCAGCATTCCTCCATATATAAAATACAATATGACACTCATTTCTACATGGGTTATGCTGCAAAATAGAAAGAAAAATCACTACAAGAGACATGTTCAAAAGAAAATCTATTCCTGACATTTTATAAATCAGAAGGAAGATGCATCATCTCTAAAAAAACATGGAAAGGAAAGGAAATAATAAAATTAGAGAGACAAGGCTGGTAAGGCAATATCTTTTATAGGACCATCTTCCGCTGGGGAGAGAAACAAGCTTTCAAGCTTACCCAAAGCTCTTCTTTCAGGTCCAATTAAAGATACAACCTCACCAACCTTGTCTGCCTAATGTCCTAGGATTAACACAGCTACAAAAACGCATTATTTCTGAACAACAGTCGATGACACTTCAACTTGTGAGTAATTTCACTAATGTGAGCAGTCCAACAGAAGCTTCACAATGCTGTAAATCTTTGTGACTAAAGTTATAACCATCTTAAAACTACTTCTTACTGCGATTCATACCACAGGTGACCTTCCCAAGTCTGGCACTATCTGGTCCATCTATATCCATGGTCCATCATGATTTTAGTTAGCTGGATGTCCACTTATCATGGGTGTGACCAAGTTTCCCATGGTCCCATATTTTGTTTACAGTCACCAGTCTTGGCTCTCAGTGTTCTGTGCTGTTATTTAGCTCTAATTTATCACTTAATGTCTTCTAAGAGCTCACTAAGCAGTGGAAGTGTTGGTAATTCTGCTAGACAATACTGACCTCCTGTGATTTGGCAAATTCTTTGGTTCAACACTGGTCAGGTCCTGAGAGTTCCAGACTAGAGATGTTCAGCCTCTAGTTCTCTAAACTAGAAATTATGTATACTGATATCCTGTATGCAAAGCATCCTTAAGACATATCACTAGTCAACACTTCATTTATAATGTTAACTGAACACATTTAACAGAATTTCAGAATAACAATTTTGTTTTATGGGTTTCTTAAATCTACAAGTATATTTAAACTTTACTTTTCATAAAAATTCATTATGTGTACCACAGTACACATATCTCAAAATACTCAAAGTTTCTATGGGCTTGATTTTCTGCCATTGCAGGCAACAGAAATTTTACTGTTAAAGTCAATGGTAACATAATTTATATTGGTGAACACATTTTTCAGAATATTAATCCTAATCTTAAAATCTAATTCCCAAAACACCCAGGTGCCATGCCTATTAGTATAAATGGGAACAATTCATACATGTTAATGAGACATTTCTTTAAGAATTAGACATATTGAAGCAACAGACAGTGATGACTAAAAACAAGGAAAAAATTGGTTGCAACATGCTAAGCAGCAAAATCAACACAGTTGTCTGTCTCTACATTAGCACACAAGATAGCCATAAAAACAGCAAGAAAAGATTTCCCTGCTGTCTTGACAGCTGTTATCGTAAGCAGCATTTGTATTATTTCAGAATAAGCCATATGCACTTATTCATAAGTGTTTATAGAGACAACATGAAAATCTGCACAAAGCAGAAGACTGAACTTGAAAAGGTAGTAGTAGTACAATAAGATCTAGTTAGATGTTAATACCTGGAAACCATGAGATATTAATTAGACATGAACATGCTTGTAAAAAGATTAAACAATATTCAGGAGAATACTGAAAAATAATGACTGAAATTCCTTAGCTATCCGGGAAGATGAAGATCAATTACTAGGGAGCAGGGTGAGGGGAAAGTACAAAACTAAGATTTTGTCATTTGATTTTTTTTAAACAATTCACTATATAGCATAAAAGATATACTTCCGATAAATGTATAGCAACTGCTTTAGTAGGTTTAAAAAATAAAAAGAGTCAGAACAAACCTCCTTTGTGATATCATAGCAATGTTATTAAAATAGGAAACTAAAATGAGGAAAAACCAGTGGAGAATTGCTCAGTTAAGCCATTTTATAACAAGGCAAAGTATATACATATTCTAACATTGTATAATAAACATGATTGTTTATAAAGAAAAGTGGATCTGAATGACCTGAATTCCAGTTCACTTTCCAATATTTTATAGAGCATTGAAGTTAATGAATATTAGGGTCACTTTGTAATTCATTATATATTGTGATAACATTTACTAATATTTTATGGAAATCTTAAACAATTATATATATTATATAAATTTTGAGGTGTTAAAGGGAACAGAACGGACATTCCCAGAGACACCAAAGTCCCTGATTTATCCATACAATATGTAACAAGACTCTAGAAGAGTTTTACTTGCTCTACACTAGCAGCAATGTTGTTCTGAGCATTTGTGGACAAAATGTTTCCAGCCATGAATGATTCAATTTCCTAGTGTACAATGATCCTGAATCATATTGGTTAAAAATGACCTACAAAATGAATAATTGATTTGCTTTTATATCCAAAGTGTGCATCGGGCTTTAACATACAAAGAGCTATGAAAATGTATGTGATAGTTCAGCTGTATAGAATACATTTTTGACACATAAAGGAGGTTAAACAGGGAAGGAGTGCTGTAGGACACTAAAATGTGTATTATGGAAAGGGTAACTCCCTCCCCCCCATTGATAAATTTAGGACAAACATTAAAACCACTCTACTAAACAAGTCAAAATATTACTCCAGATATTTATCACATTGAAGAAAAAAAAGGTACCACAGCAGATTAATATAGATTGCTTTGTATGCAGCCTGGTTGCTGCATTTTTGCAGTGATTTTAAATTGCCTACCTTTGCTCCCATATGACTTGCAAAAGCTATGCTTACCCTTGAAGAGTGATGTGCTCTTGGGAGCTTTCAGCCCAACTTCCACTCAGCATAGCAGCAAAGTAACTAGACCTGGCACATAAAATGGCCCTGAGAGGAAAAAAAACCAAGCAGTATTTCACTACATACAAATGTTCGTTACAAGAAAAAAATCTTAGATGAGATTGATTTAGATCTTTGCCCCTTACACATCAAGATCTCTCTGTACCTTACATAACTTTTTCTCCCAGTATCTTTGGCAACTCATCTCAGGATCTTATAATAATGAGGAAAATTAATACCACTCTGAAAATTCTCAATTAAAGTTAGTTTCTAGTACACCTTTTGATTTCTTCTGTTTTATATTAATACTATTGCCACACGACTTATCTGTTCTTCCACAAGGGAAAGTGGGATAGATCTTTCAAAGGGACAAGTTTGTAGCTTGTAATATATTACAACATAACATTAAATTCAAATTCTTTATATAACAATACTTCTGGCAGTTATGTCTGGTACCTCTTGCAGATACTCATTGAAAATTGATTTTAATAAAAAATGTTTATGAAAGATATAGCTAAAGCTTCAGTAAATCCAGAGTATCAACCTATCTTCTATCAAAAGGTATGTTTCAGACTATTCTAATATTGTTCGAATAAAATGGGACGTGCTTCCTACATGAATACAAGAAAAGCTATACCTTATTTTAGGGCTATCAAGCAATTAAAAATTAATTATGATTAATCCCACCGTTAAACAATATTAAAATACAATTTATTTAAATATTTTTTTTATAATTTCTACATTTTCAAATATACTGATTTCAATTACAACACAGAATACAAAGTGTCCAGTGCTCATTTTATGCTTGATTACAAATATTTGCACTGTAAAAAAATAAAATAGTATTTTCAGTTCAATACAAATATTGTACTGTAGCTAATACAAATATTGTACTGTATTCTCTTTATAATGAAAATTGAACTTACAAATGTAGAACTATGTAAAAAAAACTGCTTTAAAAAAAAAAGTAAAACTTTAGAGCCTATGAGTTTACTCAGTCTTATTTCTTGGTCAGCTCAGACAAACAAATTTGTTTAAATAAGCCAGAGAAAATGCTGCCTGATTCTTATTTACAATGTTACCTGAAAGTAAGAAAAGACATTTGCAACACACTGTTGTTGCGAGTGTCGCAGATATTTACGTGCCAGATGCACTAAAGAATCATACGTCTCTTTATGCTTCAAACACCATTCCAAAGGACATCTGTCCATACTGATGATGGATTCTGCTCAATAATGATCCAAAGCAGTGCTGACTGACGCATATTCACATAAAGTTGGCATTTATTAAATATTTTGGGATATTTTTCTACGTTTTTCAAATATATTAGTTTCAATTACAACATATAGTACAGTGTACACTAATATGTACACTAATATGGTCAACGTACAAGGTACAAATATTTACACTAAAATTGATTAACAAATAATATTTTTCAGTTCTCTTCATATAAGCATTGTAGTGCAATCTTTTTATTGTAAAAGTTTCCACTTACAACAAATATGGCCAAGGTACAATATTTGTACACTAGTACAAATATAATTGCAATATAATTAGTTGTACAATCCTAGATTATGTGAGTGGGTGCAGAGAGGCAGAAATATCGAGAGATAAAGGAGTAGAAATTGCTTCCTGACCCCAACTCATGATTAGGGTACTTCATCATCTGAGTCAGGTGCCACCAGCAGCAGGTTGATTTTCATTTTTGGTGGTTCTGGTTCTGTAGTTTCTGCATTGGAGTGCTGCTCTTTTAAGACATCTGAAAGCATGCCCCCAACTCAGATTTTGGAAGGCACTTCACGTTGTCAGCTCTTGGGTCAAGTGCCATATTACTGTATATATTTGTGTATGCTGTACTATGTGCTATAATTGAAACTCCTACCTATCTGTGGAAATCTCACATTGGTTCCTTTGTGTTTTGTCAAATCTCTAGTGAAAATATTTTTTAAATGAACAACATGTGCTGGGTCATCATACAAGACTGCTATAACATGAGATAATTGGCAGAATGTGGGTTAAACAGAGCAGGAAGCAGACAATTCTCCCACAATGAGTGCACTCACAAATTTAATTTAAAAAAAAATAAGCATCATCAATATGGAAACAGGTCTTCTGGAATGGTGATCAAAGCATGAAGGGGAGTATGAATGTTTGGTATATCTGGCATATAAAATACCTACAATGCCAGCTACAGAAGTGCCATGTGAATACCTATTCTCACTTTATAATGACATTGTAAATACGAAGCAGGCAGCATTATCTCCCATAAATGTAAACAAATTTCTCTCTCTTAGCTATTTGCTGAACAAGAAGTAGGACAGCGTGAACTTGCAGGTTCTAAAATTTTACATTGTTTTATTTTCTAGTACAGTTATCAAACAAAAAAAAATCTACATTTGTAAGTTGCAACATATTGTACATTAGTGTACAAATATTGTACCTTGGCCATATTTGTTGTAAGTGGAAACTTTTACGATAAAGAGACTGCACTACAATACTTGTCTGAAGATAACTGAAAAATACTATTTATCATCAATTTTACAGTGTAAATATTGGTATGTTGGCCATATTAGTGTACATATTAGTGTATGCTGTACTATATGTTGTAATTGAAACTAATGTATTTGAAAATCGTAGAAAAATATCCCAAAATGTATAATAAATGTCAACGTGTATTCTACTGTTAAACAATGTGATTAAAACGGCGACAAATCACAATTTTTTCATTTAATCATATGAATTAACTGAAATTAATTGAAAAGGCCTACTTTATTTCCTTTTAGCCTATAGCAGCCTCTATTCCTAGGCTCAGAAGAATAACGGGGAGTAAATCAGCCTATTTGATTTATTCCACTCCATCCCATTAAAAAACAAAAAACAAATCATTCATCCAATTCAGTATTCATCTCCAGCAATGCCAGGTCCTTCAGAGAAGAGTATAAAAAGCCCCATAATATAATTAGTTGTGCAATACTAGATTATGTGAGTGGGTGCAGAGAGGCAGAACTATCGAGAGATAAGGGAGTGGAAATTGCTTCCTGACCCCAACTCATGATTAGGGTACTCCCTAAAGCACAAGGACTAGCCTTTTTTCATTTTATCTTAGCTAGTATAATTGCAGATGATTTCTCACTCATATTAATTTCTTACAGTTTGACATTAAGCTTCAAGTTTGAAAGTTACTTTGCTTCAGTTATATATTTTGCAGAAAATGCAATAAGTTACATACTATAGAAGAATGGTATTTCCTTTTATATACACATTATAATTTACTGACTTTTAAAATACATTAAAAACTCTTATTCTTGTATGGGATAAAGATCAAAGCAACATCCAATTTGCCTTCTTTTCCCCGTCAGTTTATATACTGGTATTTCATATAGTTTCTTTTTTCTCCAAAATGTCCAATCTCTCTCCCATTCCTCTCACAAACCAGCCAGCAATAATTAAGCTTTCCTGGAATCTTGCTAATCTGAATTAAATATGTCAAACCTTAGATCCAACAAGTATGCTGCAGTATATAGCTGTGGGCATGTGAAAGTGATAGTTCCCTGAATTCTGAACGTGACCTTCTCCATTTACTCTCCTGCAAGCAAAATATGTTGTCTTTGTTTTTGTCATTTCCTCTCTAAATATGCTTCATCAATGAGCAGGAACAGATCAGCTGGAATGCTAAGCTCTGTTTTGTAGGATACTGAACATTTAAATAACGCATGTTAAGTAAAATGGCTATCTAGTGAAAACTAGCATATATGATATCTATTTTGGTGTCTCTTGGCATGTGTTATAGTGTACATTTGTATAGGTTCCAGATACATTTGATACAGAATCTAAACTTGCCCATGGTTTCCTGCCACTATGATCTGAATCACATAGCAGCATAATTTGTTCCTGAGTGAGTAAGGAATACTCTCATGGGTAAGGAATGCAGGATGGGCCTTGAAATTACCTGCAGTTTGAGGACATGACTTCTTATAATCTGGGATGATAAATAAAATTAATTGCTTATTAATAATGCAATCATACCCAAAGTTACTTTTCTGCAACTCACTTTAATACACCTCTACTGCTCAAATCACTATGTGGTACTGAAACAATCAGCTGATTTTCTTATGTCTATTTCAGAACATCCCAGTTTGCCTTCAAGTGACTGCTCATGTCCATTCCAAGCAGTTGTGCATGTGCTGCGTACACAGTCATTGGAAGGTTTTCCTCTAGTCGTATCCATCAGTAGGCTGCAGAGCCCTCAAGAATGGCGCTGTTATGACTCTGTATATCAGGGCTACTCAACACAGGCCATTTGTTTGCAGCCCACAGAGCAGTTTGGGTTCATCCAAACAGTACACGGCTGGGAGCCAAAGAGGACAGAGCCAAAGACTCCAAAGAGGACAGAGCCTCTCTTCCTCAAGCTCACTTCCTCATGATGAGTACACTAATATAAAGCCTTTCCACTTGTCCTATCACTACTGCCAGGAACTGCTAGGCCACGTGGTAGCTTGCACTTAGGTAGTGCAACATGTCAGACTTTGCCTCCAGCCTCTGCAAGCATAGCTGGCCCAAATGTACAGACCAAATCAGGATTGACTGGACTCTATAATCACCATTTCTCCTCAGTGGTGGCTGGATCCACAGAATGTCTGCACCAGGGTTCCTTTTTCTACACTGCAACTGACACTAGTCCTAGTCAGGGACATGTTGGCAATGGGTTGGGGTGTCCACTTAGGCAATCTCTGGCCATAAGGCCTCCAAACTCCAGCAGACATTCTGACACATATCAGTGTCAAAGAACTCTGTGCAGTTTGTCTGTCTTGCATAGCATTCCGTGCTCACCTACAGGGCAATTGCGTTTCAGTTTTAATGGACGACATCATAGTGATGTTTTACCTAAACAAAGAGAATGGGCCCAATCTCCTCCTGTGTCAAGAGGCCATCAAGCTGTGGGACTTTTGCATTGCTCATGAAATACACCTGGAGGCTTCCTGTCAGGTTTCCAGAACGAGTTGGCCGATCACCTAAGATGTTTTCCATTGTCTTGAGTGGTTGCTTCA